TTCTTGTGGTACTCGCTCGTCTTGCGGTTTTTCTGCCAGGATCGGGATAGGACTTGGTTCACGGCTCGCCGGGGGTTTAAAGCGTGGGATAGTCTGCCACCCGTGTCCCGCTATCGGGCAACTCGGCTGAGGAATCACCAGGGTGCACGGAGAGTGGAGGGCTATGGCTAAAGTACCCAGCACCTCCACCAGAACATACGATAACAGCTGAGCATGGGCTGGAACTTTCCAGAATAGTAAGTATTGATAGAAGATAGAACTGGAGCAAGCATCCGTGACAATATAACAAAACTGACAGAAGTGAGTCAACCCTGACCACTAAAGAAGCTGCATTGCTTTAGTGGCATTCTGTTCAAATAAATCCTCTCTTTCGGGGTTTGGCGGCTGCCGTGGACGAACTGGACTGAAATCGATGTGAAACCACTTTTCTGATAATGAGCCACTGCAGACTGTCGTCACAAAGCGGCGTGAACGGGTGGACTGGGTAGGTAACACCGGCAATGAAATGCCCATACAGCTTGCAATTCGTGTAACGAGTGTTGATGAAACTTTTGTGTCGGCAAAACGTGCGACAGACCACATGTGCTCCGTGAAAAAGCACGTCTACGCCAGAACAATTTAGGAAGCAGCACAGCATCACCTAAAGCATGGCACAGGAACTACCAGCTTGAAGGCAGCTCTTCGGTGCGCCGCACACCTGTGCTTCGCTAAAGTGCACGTCTACGCCGGAACAATTTGGCAAGCAGCACAGCATCATTTAGCACGGCACGGGAACTACCAGCTTCAAGGCGGCTCTCCGGTGCGCCGCACAACCAAAGTGAGCCTTCGGTCATTTGAGCGAAGCGGCACTACGATTGCACACTGCCAAGCACAACTCACGCGATTTCCGTCGCTAAACTGTGTATCCAAATGTATTGCACACGCTTCACTGCAGACCTCGAAGATTCCGATGGTCAACGAGAGCACACAAACGTCTCCTTAATGTTTATCCTAGAGGTATCCGAATCAATCCGAGGTCCGAGGAACGTAGGGCAGATTGTCTCTTCCGTGGCAATATCCCCGTCGGTCACCGGCGAAATGCACACCGTTCTTCCGCATTTTCACGTTAAACCTACGTCGGACACCACGCTGAACTCTGAAGTCGCTTTCGACCGGCCTCATATGACGGCTTCCGCGTCTGGAATCAACTGGCCGAGACGAACGACAACCAACAAAGCATCCGACAAGCTCCGGCCCAGCTGGGGCCAGCCGCTGCCCTGGCGCTGGCATGTTTCCTGTGACGTCACGTATTAGGCTTGGTCACGTGACGAGTGGTCAAATTTGCGTACAATGGCAGCCGCCTTATGGGGGTCACTTTCGAGTGCAGACCTTAACCCCGGTTTATCGCTCTAAGCCCCACTGCCTTGTTGAATAAGACATATTTCGGTAGGAATAAAAAAAAAAAAAATAAAGTAAAAAAAAACAAAAACGGATCAACAAGTTAAGAAAAGGCTATTAATTATTTAGATTGTACAAAATCGCTATACAAATCCTAACTGGTCTATACAGAACACTGCATTTTGACATCAAAATACCAAGAGGTTCAATGTCACGAGCTCATGCTCCCTCTGCTCCATCGAAAAAAAAAATCATTGATTATCAAAATTTTCATTGGGTCAGGCCCACATATTCATTTCCGGGGAAAGAGGCGAGTTGTCCACTCCTTATCGCCAGGATCGCTTTGTACTTCCGTCTCCCATTTTACCTCCAAGTGTCCTGTATTAGTCTCAACAGTTTGGCAGGAAAGCCCGCCGTGTCATTTTGCATCGATGGAACTGGAACGAGAACTAATTACATTTTTACTGAAACGGAGAAAGGAACGGCGTTCCTTTTTTTTTGTTCAGTGGGGTCATTTTTATTTTATTCCTAAGAGGGAAATTCAAAAAGTATAAAAAACAATACATTTGCAAAGAGCAGGATCTCGTTAATGTTTTGGTTACTTATCTTAGGGTTTATGTTCTGTGGGCCTCGTTTGGTAGCAGTCGGGTGCAGGAGGGCCAGTGGATATTGATTATTTTTTAAGTACCCGAGACTGAGGTAACAAAAAGCAAAACTTTTAGTCGAAGGAAAAGACACAGAAAGAGGAACTTTTCAAAGTCAGCTTCTTTCTTTGCTTCCACGAATTCTCATACACCCATAAAGCTAAGGCCGACTACAGCCATCACTGAACTTCCACAAGGAGACCTACAGTTACAACAAAAGAATAGGTTGCCAGACATCGAACGCACCCTTGTATCCCGAACATTGTGTCACTTAAAAGGATACTGAACCGAAATTTCGAGCTTACAAAACAAGGCTGTATGGATAGGCGGGACGCTGCAAAACCCGAAAACATCACTAATACAGCGATATCTCTAACGGATCGCTGTATTTTCGGAAAAGAAGTGCGCGATTGAACACGGCCGACGAGGCCTACGAGTCAAGGCACGTCTTGATTTTCATTCTCTTTCCTCCTCGCTACGTCCCGTCGAGCTGGTGAACCGAAGCGAGGAGGAGAAACCCGAGGCCGCTTCCATTCATTCTCGAATTCTCCCGGAGGACAATTACGTCAAACACCTCGCTTGACCGCGCCATTCTTTTCCATGAGTACGGCCATCCGTTTGAGATATCGATGCATGCGTGATTTTTTACAGTTCGTAGCGTCCCGTTCAACGCTTCTACGGCCTTATTTTGCGAAATCCCAATTTTCGTTCAGTAAGACACACAAAAATTGAACCTTATTCCTCCTCCCTTTGTCCCCCCCCCCCCCTCTTCAAACTGAACAACGAATCTAACCTTCACGAAGAAGGACTTGTAGTTTGCAAGACTGACTTTCCAAAAGCCTTACCCTCCCTTTCACTTGTTCGTCTTGCGGACGGCAACATCGAGAAACTATTGTTGCGTTCGAACAACCGACTTTGTTAGATTGAAACGCGTGAGGTCGTTGTGAAACGCTCGTGCAATGTGGGGTAATTGTACATTTGACTCGTATGAATTGTCCACTGCAAACATGCATATGGGTAAAAGCTGAGATTTGTAAACTTGAATATATCAACAAATGAAACCCTGCGTCCGCTTGATTTTGTTTCCTGGTGCCCTTTAATCACGGCATCAAAAATAGTATGCTACCATATGAGCGGATATATATAAAAGAGGGAACTTTGCTTAATCTAACTAAATATTGTAATCAGCAAGATACAAATGTAACCTATATGTAACGACACGTTCAATTTTTTTAACTGTAACGCGAACGAATTCCTTTTTCACAGACGTAACTTGTAACGGGAACGTGTTCCAAAAATCAGAAAAAACAAAAAACAAGCTTTCGTTTTTTTTTTTTTTTGAGGAGCGTGTACAACTCTGCAGTTAAGTCGGTTGCCGCTATATGTTCTGATCGGTAGAAGGGTGGTGGTCTGGGCCAGTTGGTGAGCATTAAACATGGTAAAGATCAGGAAACAGTAGCAAAATACATAAGAGAAGACTGACGCTGAAATCTCAACTCGTTATTTAGTCCATATGAGAAAAACAAACAACAAGAACAAAGTGGTAATCATTAAATATTGTCAATTGTTAAAATTAGGGAAAAAAAACACAGGAGGCAACACAGATGCTGGATTCACCACTTAACATTTCATCGAGCAGAAAAGCGCAAAAAACAGGAACAAGGTTGTTCCTTAGCTTCACAAGTTATCGCGTAACTTAAATCAAGTAGCCTGACGATATGAATTTGCAGTTGCTTTTGCAGTACCTAAAAATGGCCCAAAGTTGATCCAAGGTGCCCTTAAACTTGGATATACTTCCCCTACAAAAATGTAAAAAGAAAACCCTATTTGTGCCCTGTACCTCGTGCGTAGTGTACAGCATACCCTTAACATATGGTAGAATGTATTCGGGACAAACTGTACGGTGTATCAGTGATATGTCACTAGAGCATAACCTGTCTCTTTTAGTTCAACGGTGGACGGTCATCTACACATGCACTTTCAAGCTTGTTCTTACAGTCCAACTCTGGCTAGAACCACTATCATGGGTCGATATAAGAAAAAAAATCTTCAGCGAAATTCACGAGACCTTTATCACACAAGGTTTGGGGGAGCGCTGTGTGAGCACACCTTTAGTAGCACTATCTGAAAAAGAAGCATCGTTTTTAAACGCTTCAATGAGCTGAAGTCAACGCCTTGCCCCGTGACTGCTTGCGCCATGAGCACGTGCCTGTTTGATATATGTCATCTTCTGTGGTTTTCTCTTCTGGATGAAATATTGAGCTCAGAGTTCAGCGTCTGCCCTGTCTCTTGTATTTTTCAAGTTTCCTACATTTTTCGCTGATTTTAACCATGTTTGTTCTGATCGACTCTTTCTAGAACTGCTTACTCGCAGGTTTGAGTATCCATTGGTTTTTATTATCGTTTTTAGTTTTAGCATGCATGCAAATCCTAATGTCTAAAATAAACTCCGAATGACGTTTCAAACAACTGAATTTCTGATCTATGGTTGACAGTCCTTTGGGCATCCAAAGAACTGAAATTGTTGCAGGGGGTCTGAAGGGCTGAAGGGTCTGATAGGCTGAGGTGTCTGATGTGTTGAGGGGGTTTGATTAAGGGTGTCATTACACATCAGGGCTGAGGTAATTTATAATATAGAGCTTTCCCGGCTTCTTAAAAAAAATATGGAAATAAAAACACTGTATATTACACTTCATAGCAATTAGCACCATAAATTTTTTTTTTAAAATAGAGCAAATTGTTAACTGCAAAATTTATAAAAATTCACTAAGCACAAATTTAAAAGTTCAAAATATTTATTACGCAAACATGTTATTAAGATCATGTTTTTTCATCATTTGTAAGTTATTCTTATCCCTTAGCCCCACATATTCGCCTCAGTTGAACAATATTTCTTCATATATTTGAATCCCAACACGGTAAAAAAATCTCAAGCTTTACAAGTTTTATTAGATGAAATTTGACGAAACTACGCGGGTGTCAAAGGAATGTTATACTTGTTTTGCTTCCACTCATATTCTTGGCCTCTCGCATTTTTTTAAATGAGGAAAACACAGCGTCTTTGAATTCTCCTTTCACAATCAAATCTTCAAGCCTTTTTTTTAAAACGCTTTTTAAACCGGATGGTGACTTCGCCTTCAGACAATATGCAGCTGGAGGCGGATTGACCGGTTTCCCGTCGGAATTCATCATTTCGTACTGCTGATTCAGCAAAGTATACCGATGAAATACCGTGCCATTTCTACCTGCAAGGAGTAAAATTGTAACAGACATACATTTTGATTAGCGGCTCTCGTTTACATACTTAGATTTAGTGAGTATTTAACCTAAAAAAGTATCCACTTTTTGACCCAGTCCTAACAAATGTAAAAATTCTAATTTTCATATAGCGGCAGTCGAACTGCAGGACAGACTGTACCAAGACAACTCTCGATTAAAAGCTTATGTTATAGACGCCTAAATGACGGTTTCTTAAATATTTGTACGCCTTAAGTGGCGCGCAGTCTGATTAGGAAAAAAACAGTAAATTTGAGTACACTATAATTATCTATGTTTTTCTAATAATTATCAAATACCTTCATGACAACAAAAAAGGAAATTGTAAATCACAGATTTAGCTCCCTATGAGTGGCTTTGTTCTTTATTGCAATATGTTCAAGAAGGGTAGGATTTGTTCTACAAAAATACTTTTGGGTATTATTGTTTATTATCGCACAGTTAATAATATTTTATGATAATAGTTCTTCTGTTCTTCAGTCACGCTGGTATTTCTTGAGGATTAAAAATATAACGAGGATTAAAATATTGTAGAGCACATCCACTTCACGTGAAGATGGAGGACCAGCGACGCTGTTATCTTTAAGACAACTTCACGACAACTATACATCTATACGATTTGCATATGATTGGACTGAAGACCCGTACACAATTTCGTTGTTTAATTGTATTTATTTAAATATTAGTGTCTAAAGTTATCATTGCCTTATGGTCACTATGGTAAACCACCATTGGTTGTATTTTGACTTCGGATATGTTCTTGCTGAACGTGAGGTCGATACACGTTCTGTTGTTGGTCGTTGGTATAAGTATATGTGTTGGTATACGATTATTTTAGGTTTTACAGCGACCTGGGCTCTTTATCCGCGATGTTGATAAAGAGCCCAAGTCTTTAGATGTGTATCGCGGAAGCGAAAGAACAGAAGGTTAGATCGGCGCGTTCTGCCTTCAGCCTTGTTAGTTCGCACCTTAGCTGATATACGTCGGTGACCGTAGATGATAATGAGGGATTAGGACCTCACTATCTAATAATGCCAAGGAGGGCTGACTCATGCGAGTTGCCCCCTCTTTTTTATACTTGCCAAGACCAATCGGAACGAAGAAGCACCCTTCAAACGGGAGCTTTGTGTTAGCATCCCTGCAAATATTTTGTCCAAATCCTAGGACATAACAGCTTCGCTGTAAGAAGGACTTAGAAAAAGTCAGCATGTAGCCAGGTGCGTGCGAGCTAAAAAAAAGTTTCACGCGCAGATTCTGGAGATGCAAAGCCATGTGGACAGAACATTCCTGACACATCACGTGCACTGCAAGTCGACTTGATGTTGAAGCAGTAATACAACAGAGGAAAGACAGCGCAAATGTTTTGACTAAAATGTACTACCATAGCCTCCTCTATACTGACAAAGACTGACAGTTCGATGACGGAGCCATAGAGTGCCCGGTCCTTGATTCGCAGAGCGAGGATCTAGTAGCAGAGTGCACTTCTCAGGGAACGTGGTATTCAGCGCACAGCTTTTGCAGCGGCGAGGACCCGGAACATGGTTTTCCAACCTGACGAGAAAAGAAGCGATAGCGCGAGGAACGCAAGGAGCACGAGCGGACATTCCATCGCTCGGGAGAAGTGTTACCACACACTACAGCGCACTACTGCAATAGTACACTCACACTGTACACTCGATACTTATACACGAAAAAAAAGAGAATAAATTTAAACGAACCGTGCTGACTGACAACTCGTTTTTATATACGTTGTCTTCTTCTACGTGTGGAACTATCGAATTTCCCGAATCACGCGCACCAATCTCCAACGCCAAGGAAAGCTTTTATTTTTTTAATTTTTCTGTCAGGTTCAAAGATGGTGTACTGATACAGTTTTCAAAATTCATTACGGTGTGTTCGGCTTCAATAATTTTTCTAGGTAATTGATTACTGCGCCTACCTAAAATTGTACAACATGGCAGGTGAGCCTCGCACCCACAATCAACGTTACTGGAGCAAGCTCAGTTTCACAGCTCCGCTTGCGACGTGGGCAGTGGCGGTCACGAGAACTAGCAGCGCTGCAGTCGAGTCTTGCTTCCGGATTGTTTAGCCCGCCAAGTGGGAATAGCAATACTTGAGGTTGGGCGAGTTGTTGATTCATACTAACACTTCACAGCGCAAGGAAACAGACGCACACAAAAATAAATTTCAAACATTCAAAGAAAGAACACTCACAATGCGCTGACTCTGATCACTGTGGTGTATTACACTTCATATTCATCATCTTTTCTTTGCTATTATACACATGGAAGTAAAAAGAAAAAAGAAGAAAAGAAAAAGAAAGGGAAACTTTCAACGCAGTGGTAGCAGAAAACGTGCGAGTCAGGGAAGCAAGATCCGACTGCAGCGCCGCTAGTTCTCGTGACCGCCACCTGGGCCACTCGCCTCTGAAGGCGAGAATAGGGAGCTGGGAAACTGAGCTTGCTTTACTAACGTTGGCCACAATCACGGCAGTGTATGCCTAGGTGGCTAGAGTAAGCTCTGGTGCTATCCGTTGTCTGCCGCTCTACCTTTCCACTTTCGATGGCCGCGTCTCGTGGCGATCTGCCAGGCTTTGTCAGTATGGAGAAGGCTATGGTACCACATATCCCGGCTCATGCACACTCGTGTGCACATCTTCACAAACGTTGAGAAGTCATTGTTGATTAGTAGACCCCCCCTAAAAACTGCGTTGGAAGATGTTCTAAAAAAGTGTTCACACTGAAAAATAACACATTTCATAGTATATGTTGACTTGTGCGTCCAGTTCAACAGGCGTGGAACTCATAAAAGCTCGTAGGTTAGTAGTAGTTTCCCTGCAAGATCTACGGTGGGATGGGCCAGCGTTGGTAGCTGTTTATTTGGCTGTCAGACTTCCAGCATCCTTTTTCGTTTGCTTTTACGTTGGCGTCAACACTTTTGTCATTTAATCTTTTGCAGAAATTCTTCAGCAAGATGTTAGTGCTGGATCACAGTACGTGTTTAAAACAAGCTCGCCTGTGTGCCCGTCCTCAGATGTGTTGAAGTACGATGAGTTGTCACTGGCTAGGAGCTCTACAGTGAGCTCTGCGAGGAGCTCGCGTTGGTTCGGCATCCGCCAGAACTGCGACTGCTTCGAGAGTTGTGTCACAATTACGTAGCTGTTTGTAACCACATTAACGGCAAATAGTGTGGGGTGCACAAGCCCTTCTCTGTCAAGTGCCATGACAATATCATAGTGCTTTTCCGGGACGGAAACTAATAATATTTTCTCTGTCGTCAACGCGGCCCTGCATTTGTCGCACTTCAGCTTCTTGAATGTGGTATGATCGGCATATCCTGCCAGGTAAACCAAGACAGAGAGGATGTCTTTTACTTTCGAGAGCGCTTCTTCAGGCACTACTACGTTGCAGCTGGAGCGTGGAGCATCCGTGCGCTTGTAAAGATCTTACCATTGCTGGTCTTCGTCACTGTCTCCTTTGGAAGTCAGTGTGCTTTGGAGGCGCGATTTCTGTTCCGCTTCAAATACCTGCCTAAATGAGACATGATATTGGGAGCCAGCCAGTATCCCAAAACGTGCTTCTAAGCTGTTAGTCTGTATCTTCCCCAGGAGGGCGTAGGACAGCTCAGGTTCATCGAAGTAGAATCTGGCAATCTCCAAGAGTGCCCGAGATGTGTGGTGGAGAGCACCTTGGGTGTCACTTGTGAGTTGCCATCATCCAAACCCTTGCTCTTCCAGGCGCCCAGTCAGTCCAAAAACTTGTGCATGAACTCCACCTTTGGATTGTCCACTGAAGGGAACACTGGTTTTTGAAGTCATCCCTTTGCGTGATTCCTTTGTATGCAGTTTTCACATTTACAATCTCCCACCCTTTGAGTATAATCTCGATGAAAGTTACTGTTTCCTCACAATGTGGAAGGTCCGAATCTGATCACAGAAAACAAATGGCATGTGGCAGGAACTCGTGGAAGATTTGCAGAGCAAGTTTCACATTCTGTCGTTCGAGGTTCGGTGGACTCGAAACCTTCCTTGAAACACTGTGGCCGTAGCGCAGGACTTGCTGGCATTCCAAGTTGTAAGCCTCCCTGATGGTTTCAAAATATTCCTGCAGGATGTGCTCCTCTGTCGACTCCTCATACTCAGGAACGTAAAAGCAAAGCCGGTCGTTCTTTTGGTTGAGTCAATTGTTCCGAATGCACTTGACGCGTGTACGGAGCCAGTGACGAAGAACAGTGTACTGGCTCAAAAGGGTGTGAATAGCGAACTTGTAATTTCTCAGGAGGGGGTTCATGAAATAGGACATCGCCTTTCTGTTGATGGAGTTATTGTCACTGACGACACACACACAGTCCGGTAGCCAATGGTTTCCAGCTCACAAATCACGTCTCTTAGCAGCGTGTGCGGAAACTTTGCCTCCGCTCTATGCACAGGAACAATGTGAGCTCCTTCCTTGGACTTGCATGTGAGGCTTTGTACCATGGAAACCAGGGCGCTGTTGGCCGGTTCTGTAGAATTGAACGCCTCACCTGTGATGCTTGTGCCTTCGTAATCAAAAAAGAATTTGATGCGGACCTCGTCTACCATAAGAGCTACAAAGCTTTGCTAATTGCCAAGCTCAAAAATATTTTTCATGCAGCTGTGGAATGTGTTTTTTTCGTGCTTTGCTTGGGGGTTCATTCCGTACGTAGAGCAGACTGACCGGATCGTCATCGGGTGTGGATGACAAACGTTTCCACTGCTGCGGACACATTTGTAAGCATGAGAAGATATGGTAAAAAAATGCAGGAGAACATAATGAAGTTCACAGTAGCGCCTCCGCTCCTTTATCTTTGAGAGCAGTTCTAGCTGCTCGCAGAAGAACTGGATGGCATACACTGCGTCCTCCTCTGGCGTCGTCGACAACATTCTGAGCAACTCGCGAATTGCCTCAAACATTTCATCGTCTTTGTTTTCGTTAATGTTTTTATTGCT